GATTTTAAATCTTTATAGAGAAATCTATGGAGCTTTAATGAAAACCATTTTGTAGATGACCAAACAAAACAATGAAAAAGAACAGAGACTATATATACACAAAATGTTAATAGTGAAGACAACCAGAAGAAGGTAACATTATTCAATGAATTGTGATGAGAAATGTGGTAATCTTAATGGGGAATTAAAAAAATAGAATCCTGTGTCACAGAACATACGAAAAATGAATCAACTCCAGGTGAGTTAAATTTTGTTTGTATAAAAAGAAAACCTTAAACCTTTAGAACATATGGGAGACCATTTTTATGACACAGAATAGGGAAAGTCTTCTTAAATAAGAGGTAAAAAGCACTAATGACTAAAGAAAGTCAGATACAAGCTCATACATATAGCTGCATTAAAATTAACTTTTGTTGAAAGGAGGCTATAAAAGAGTAAAAAGATACATCACAATGGGACTTTATGCATTTTATGAAGAAAATGCAGCCTGTACCAGATATAAGATTAATATTTATAAAGATTACTATAGGAAAAAGACAAACACCCCAGAAGCAAAGGATCAAAAGGCACTGAAAGGATTTCAGAAAGCAGACAACATGAATATAACTACTAACCAGGGAAATGCACATTTAGACTATAAGACTCAATCTATTAGGTGGGAAAAATTTTTAAATCTGACAATGTTACATGCTGCTAGTAGGCGAATAAATACCAACAACCACCGTGAAAAGTAATTTAGCAATAAACTGAGAAATATGTATATATACTGTGGTTCATCAATTTCATTGATAAGAATATAATGTACAAAAATTACTCAAATGTATCAGAAAAACCTCTATAAGAATATTCAGAGCAGTACTGTAAAAGAGAATGGAAATGGAAACATTCCAAAATCCACTAAGAGAATAAACAGAGATATTTCTCATAATGCAATAATATGTAGTGTAATAAAGGAAGTACAGCTAGATTTATTACTATATATAAAAAAAGAACTATAGTCATGATAATCACACAGTGAACTCGTTAGTCAATCTGTACATTTAAAAAAAAAAACACATACTCTTATAAAAAGTTAACGTCTTGCAAAGCTGAAATACTACCAGGTAATATTTTATATTTAGCAAGAGATGTATTTCAAGTCATATGCCTACGCTCAACTAAAGAGATGTTTTGGTGTCATTTTGCTTATAATGGAGATGTAGCCTGTTTTTAAAACTGGATACCCAAAATAAAGGCAGTTAAATGGAAGTGTTATTAATATCACTTCACTTCCCTCTTTCTTGCATAAAATTTTAGAAAACATTTTGAAGAACAAAAATCTAAGAAACAAATTACCCGATCGTTCATGAGAAGATCTTTCACAATGAAAGTAGCTACCAAAGACTTCAAAGGAGCAGCAAACTGATCAGGTGCAAGAAGAGCGATATGACCAATAGTAACCAAAGGTGTTATAAGGTGTTCCAGGTTGCTTGGATCTAGGCTCTTATGCAGAGGCTGAAAATGAGGGGAAGAAAACAAGAGTCAACTTCCTACAAAAAAAAAAAAACTGTTCATGTACTTCAACTTCAAATATAAACATTACAGAAGGCTCAATACAAATATAACTAGTGCTTCTTAAGCCAACAGTCAGAGTTTTCTACATTATCTATGTCTAGAAGGCGTTATGTTTAAACATTTTCACCCTTGACCAAATCATGTTTTAGAAGTAAAGGCATATTTCAACATGGAGAATACTATTATGCAGCATACGTTTGGCGACCATTTACAGGAATGTGTCAAAGACTGCTAGGGCTCAACCATATCCACGTCACTCTCACATGCCGGGCATGAAGAGGAGTCCACCTGCAGCCTCCTTGTGTGCACTCGGAGTTAATGAGGACCTGCGAGCGACCGCTGTTCCTGGGATGGTAGTGAACGTGAGCGACGTGCCACCCTTGCCCGCTCACTTTCCCTGACACGGGCACAGTGTGCTTTCCCCACGGGCTCTCTGTTCTCTCACTAGCTAATGTCAAGGATCCAGTGAGACTTAAAAGAGAAGCCACTAGCCACAAAGAGCCTGTGTCCCTAAACCACTGGTGAATAGGCCGCTCAAATGCTCAAGTGGATTTTTCAGCACCAAAGATGATCTTTTACTATGTCTAGTAAGTGGAGTCGTAAGTGTTTCTTATACATCAAATACTGAGAACCATAACAAATAACAAAGATTTTTGTTATTACAATAGGAAACGCAACTGTTAATGTGCATTTTGCCATGACAAAAACAGCTTATTATATGCTCAGATAAAATATTGAAAATGTGCTGTTAAATTTAATAAAGAGAAAAATCAGAAGAGTGACTAAAATATGCTAACATTAGCACAAGAGAAACAAGGGGAGACAAAATTATATGCATGTATGTGTTTGCCCATCCTTGCTTTATGTGAATAGAAATCTCTGGAAAGATGCATTCCCACTTGATCACAATGGTTGCTCTGGGAAAATAACTAAGTGGCTGCAGACAGAGGAGCAGCAGAACTTTTCACTGTATATATTTTTTGCATTTTTTTTTAATTTAAGGCAGGTGAAGATATTATCTACCAGAAATTTTAATACTGTATTTAAATGAAAATGTGGTGTTCTATTATTGAACACTAAACACCAACAATTCTATGCTGGAAAAGTAATACAGAACTGTTCTTTGTCAAAATAACACAGCAATATAAGGACTCATTTAGTCAAAAGTATATTTAATTTACTTCTTGCTATCCTTAATGACTTCCTTCAATAATTCCACTGCACACCTAGGTGCCAGTTCGTTCTTGATATTATAAACAAAATTATGAAAGCAGCCAGATGCAGTGGCACAGCCTATAACCTCAACACTTGAGAGGCTGAAGCAAGATCATGAGATCTTTTTCAAGGCTTGGGCTACACAGTGAGACCTTGTATCAAAAAAAAAAAAAAAAAAAAAAAAAAAAAACATAATTTTTAGATTAGTTGACTATGACAAGTTTGATCATTTTTCACAATAAGTTAATGAAATCAACTCTGAAAAAGCAAAATTAATGGTCAGGTTCTAGAATAATGGCAAACTATAAATAAGCCAGAGATCTCTAGGAAATGTTTTCTCACAAAGCCAACACACCATATGTTATAGTAACATGAATACAGTTGGGGTTTTTGTAAAGGTAAAACGAAGTTAACACATAAAACATCAAAGTGAAAATCAAAGTACCTTACAAATGCAAGTTATATCAGTACTATTATAATCATCATCAGAAAAAGCAAAAAGCTAATTAATCCAGAATAGAAACTATTTCATGTATCAGAAGGACAACAGAAAATATTTCTCAGAATGCACAAAAATTAAATTATTCACATATAAAGCAAAGATGCTGCTTGTAAGATAAAGAAAGGTACTTTTCTTCCTTCCGAGGTCTTTACCATAACATATAAAAATGACAAAATTAGCATAAAAGTTTCTAAAAGTAGGAGACAAGTATTTATAGTGATCAGCTTCAGCATGATTTCGAAAGTCTTCATTCAAAGCTTGCTCCTCAACTAAAATTTTAAATTAGGATTTTATAGATTTTTCTGCCTAGCTTTTATTAGCGCATGAGAGCATGCACACACACACACACACAAAGTAATGTAACCCTTCATCATATAGGTTATAATAAAACTGCAATGCTTGCATAAAAGTTATTCTAAGTGAAGAGAAAATAACATGAAATATATAGTGAAAAGACACATTACCCAGCATATAACTGGGTCAGTCATAATGTATGAACTAACTTACTTCATATTACCAAACAGTATTGATTCACAAAACCATACATCTCAGTAGTATCTCAAACAAAATTCAAGCTTTTTGAACCTATAAACTGACAGAATAATCATGTTACCAACTACCAGTAACTATTATTTTGTATGAAATTACCTTTCAATTAAAAAGTCTCCAAACAAATATACGAAGCAATGTCAAAAAGTATGCCGTATGTGATTTCTGAATTTGAATTAGCATTAAATATTTGAACAGATATTTTCATATTTTAACTACTTGTCAATGTTGATTTTACTGATTCAAATTCTGCAAATATACAAAATGATGCATCACCAAACATGAATATTCTGCAAAATCATCAACATATGTTTTTTAATGATGCACATGAAATTTAGAAACTTCTCATTACCTCAAATATCTGAGCAAACTGGGTCTCTTTGCTAGAAAATATCGCATGAATACAGTGAATGGCGTATTTGGCTTGACGAGGGGGTCCTTTTTTAGATTTGTGATGTAAAACAGGAAGCAAGGCTCTAAAAGGAAAAATCAAAGAAAACCAATAAACCAAAAGAACCAGTATGATTTCTGTTACATCCTTTAGTGTTTATTTAAGTTTTTGAGAATAAAAAACTCACCAAGATCTACTCAAACATTTTTCAATGTCTATAATTTTATTTAATAAATATACAAATATGTATTTTATTTTTTACTTTTTATTTAACAGTCACAAACAAGGCT